AAAAAGCTCCAGAACAGTTTAAACAGTGCATAAATTCTCTCTTCCTTGAAGACTTAACACACTCATTGCCTAAGCATTTGGGCCCAGGGCTTCTTTTAAAAATGCAAATCATGTGCCATATGCTCTTTGAGCTATGGTTGTCACCATGCTTCCTGGCTTTGGCCCCCTCCTCCACCATGGGGAGGTGAATCTTCTCTCTTCCTTCTCTCTCTCTAATTTACTTTTAAATAAACTTTTCTTTTAAAAAAAAGAAAGAAAGAAAGAAAGAAATGAAAGAAATGCAAGTCCTCTGACAATGTCCTTGACTGTTCCTGTGGTCATGGGCTTACTCGGCTTCCTGAACCTTCCCTTACTCACAACCTGCTCATTGAGCGCTTGCAATGCTATGGGAGAAGCTCAGGTACTAGTAGTTCCGGGTGACTGGCCCAGCGCAGAGGGCCTGCCCTCACAGAGCTCACAGTCCAAGGACAAAGAAGATTCTAGGAACCTGAAAAAAAAACATGAGGGCAAAAATGAAAAGCTTGGCCAGGCATGGCAGCTCATGCCTTTTATCCCAACACTTTGGGAGACCAAGGCAGGAAGATTGCTTAATGCCAGGAGTTTGAAACCAGCCTGGGCAACAGAGCGAAACCTCATCTTTACAAAAAAAATTTAAGGCCTTGGTGGCTTGGCCTGTAATCCCAGCACTTTGGGAGGCCGAGGCGAATGGAGTGCCTGAGCCCACGAGTTTGAGACCAGCCCGGGCAACTTGGTAAGACCTCTTCTCTACAATAAACCAAAACTTAGCCGAGCATGGTAGCACACGTCTGTAGTTCCAGCTACTTGAAAGGCTGAAGCGGAAGGCTTGCTGGAGCCCAGCAGGATGACACTGGGGTGGCTGTGAGCGTGTCACTGCACTCCAGCCTGGGCGAAGGAGTGAGACTTCAACTCAAAAAATAATAATAGGTGCTGCACACCTATAGTCCCAGCTACTTAGAAGGCCAAGGTAGGAGTATCACTTTAGCCCAGCAGTTTGAGGCTGCAGTGAGCTATGATTGTGCCACTGTACTCCAGCCTGAACAATGGAGCAAGATCCTGTTTCTTAAAGAATAAAAAAAAAAAAAAATGAAAAGCTCAATGGAAGTAAAATAAAGCAAAGAATTCTCATGAATGGAGAAAAAAGATGAAGAGATGAAAACAGGAGAAGAAAGAAGAGGAAGAGTCCAGGAGGTACAACATCCTTAAATTCCAGAAAGAGACAAGCAAGGGTGGCATGGAGGAAGGCATCGGTGAGATAATCAAGGGTACTTCCCACCCCTGCATGCCTATGCCTGGGTTTCCAGAAGAAAAGGGTCCCAAGTGCCCCAGCCAAAACATGTAAACAAACCCACCAAGAGCATGGGGTGAAGTTCCAGATATTGGGATAAAGAGACCCAGAAGCTCCCAGAACTCTAGCTTGTCTAATTAGAGCTTCAAAAGGAAGGGACAGAGAAGGACCCTTGGGAGACAGGAGGAAGGGGGCAAGAGAAAAGTTGGGGATCAGTGAGGACCTAACGGCTGAGAGTGAGACAGTGAAGGACCAGAAGACAACAAACTCGGAATTCATTCTGGAGGAAGAAGAGCAGGAGGGGCTGTAAGCAAGTATAAAGGAATAGGCGACTCCCCAGGTTCTGGCTTAAGCAACTGGTTGCATGGCTGTACCATTTACTGAAAGGAGGAAATCAAAAGTCTGGAGCTTTTTTCATCTAAGGTTTGAGCCTCAGCTGGTTGCGGTGGAGATGTCTTGTGGAACAGCACATGGAGCGGCACTCTGGGGATGGGGTCTCTAAGTCTGGAGTTCACAGGTCTGAGCTATGGCTGTGGGAGGCTCCAGCACAAAAGATGCTTGCTGGCACCATGGACTAGACGAGACTCTTGCGGATGTGAGCAGAGAGAAGCCAGGGTGGAGTTCTGGGGAGTCCTCAAGTTTAGAGGTAAGAATGAGGAGGAGTCAGGCTGGTTACTTAGGTTTTTCTGGAAGACCACCATTTAATTATTTTTTTCTTTTTCTTTTTTTTTCATTTGGGGGCAGGCAGCATGAATTAAACCTGGAACTACAGTTTTACCCTCTACATGCACATACAATCTCTTCTCATCCTAATTAGCTTCACCAGAAGTTTGTCTATATTGTTTTCTCCCCTAGAGGATCAGTTTTCAGATTTATCACTTCTATTTGTTTCTTATTTTGTGTATCTGTATTAATTCTTTCCCTCTGCTTTCATTAGTTTTTTTTTATCCTGTCTTCCTGGCTAGTAAAATTCTTCTTTTTGTTTTTTGAGTAGGAGTATCGCTCTGTCACCCAGGCTGGGGTGCAGTGGCACAATTACGGTCACCACAGCCTTAACCTGCTTAGCTCAAGTGATCCTTCTGCCTCAGCCTTTAAGTAGCTGGAATCACAGGCTCACACCACCATGCCTGGCTAATTTTTTTTTTTTTTTTTTGAGTTGGAGTCTCATTCTGTCATCCAAGCTGGAGTGCAGTGCCACATTCATGGCTACTGTAGCCTCAACATGCTGGGCTCAGATGATTCTTCCGCCTCAGCCTTCCTAGTAGCTGGAAGTACAGGCACATGCCACCATACCCAGCTAATTTTTTTATTTATTATAGAGATGAGGTCTCGTCAAGTTGCCCAGGCTGGTCTCGAACCTCTGGACTCAGGCAATCCTCTCGCTTTGCCTTTCACAGTGTGGGATTACAGGTATGAGCCACCTCACCCAGCAAAATTCTTCTTGTACTTTATTTGCATTAAAGGATACAAAGTTTCTTGAGAACAACTCTGGCTACTCTCTAAGTGTGATTAGTGCTATTACTGCCAACATTTGCTAAATTAACAGTAATTGTTAAGTTTCAGCTTCCTCTCTGAACAACAGACACTAGGAACTTCTAAAGGGGGCAGGCAAGTGAGGGTTGAAAAACTACTTACTGGGTAACATGTTCACTATATGGATAACGGGTTCAGCAGAAATCCAGACATCAGCATCACTGAACATACCTATGTAACTAATCTGTGTATGCATACCCTGAAGTTAAAAAAAAAAAAAAATTCCTCTCTGATTTTTTAGCTTCTAAGTGGTTAGGGTTTTTTGCTCATCCTTTTGTTATTGATTTCTAATTTTACCATACTGTAACTATAATTTCTCTTTTGGGACATTAACCACATCTCACTGGATGAATATTCTTAAAAGTCATCTTCACATCCATGCTGGTATGGACAATGTTTCACCAGCCTTTGATGAAACGAGAATATTAAAAACAAAAGAACCGCCTTGGATAAGCGTGATGATTGGGTTTTCAAGCTCATATGTGAGATGTGCCCCATTCAACTCTTTTCTTGTTGTTGTTCTTTTTTTGTTTATTGAAAAATGCAGGATGGGCTCAGTGGCTTAGCCTGTAATCCCAGCACTTTGGGAGGCTGAGGCGAGTGGATTGCCTGAGCCCATGGGTTCCAGGTCAGACTGGGCAACTTGGTGAGACCTCGTCTCTACAATCAATAAGAAAATTAGCCGGATGTGGTAGCACGCGCCTGTAGTTCCGGCTACTTAGAAGGCTGAGGCAGAAGGATTGCCAGAGCCCAGCAGGTTGACGCTGGGGTGGCCATGAGCCTGCCACTGCACTTCAGCCTAGGCAACAAAGTAAGACTCCAACTTAAAACAAAACAAACACACAAAAAAAGAAAAATGCAGTTCAAGAAGCAAGACCAAACACATATCTAAATACTACAATCAATTCTCTTACTACAAAAGACCAGAAAGCAGACCTAATTATTGCCTATTTAATCTAAGGATTTTGCCAATCTGATTCAGTTGCCATAGTTCCTATTTTGTCCTTGTTTTAAAAAAACAAACTGAACAATCTTGGATATTTTCACACACCTTAATTTGCAATGATGTCTGGATTACAATTCTGCTATGACTCACTTTATTTGCACATCCAATATCCAAGCAAGATTGAATATAATGAATTAAGCCCCAGTCAGACTACTGGGTTTTGAAACCCACCATAGCCGCTTACTGGCTGTGTGACTCTTGGAAAGTACTCTTGCATCCTTGTGCCTCAGTTTCTTCAGCTGTTAAATAGGGATAACACTAGAATCTACCTTATCTTATAGTATACACAAGTGTTATGTATGGTCAACAACTGCTGCCCATTATTAAATAATTATAGAATATTTCACAAAGCAAAACAAATACCCTGGAAATCCTCTTATGTTACTTGTTTTAGGAACTTTACTGGTTGGTAGAATCCCAAAGTCCTGGAACCATTTACCTATGATATAATCAAGTCCTGCATATGCGTTCCACATACACAAAGGGAATGTGGGTTTTATCTGTGGCATACAGTATTCTGTGCCTCTCATCATAAATCTTATGTTACCAAAGTCCCGTCATCTTCACTAATACAAAATGTTGACTTTACTTAAAGGACAAGAGATCTTTAATGGTCTTGAAGTTCTGTGCAAAGGGACTGGCACTGACTAGCAGGACCTTGGAAGACACCATGCCTTCTTCCCCTGACCCCAAGCGTGCAGAGCGCTGCACAGCCTGGGAGCCAAGTCACACCATCAACACTGACAGACCCTGCCATGGCATTTCTGTCTCCTGCCAGTCTGGAAATATTTCTGAGTCTCATCTAAAGATCTGGCTTCTCAGTATTTCAACTCACACACAAGAGATTTGGCATGACCTCCAAAGTCAAGAGCTAATGGCACCACCATCTCACTTCGTTACTGTTTAAAACCTTATACCCCCACCCTCCACACACACACATCACAGCCACGTTTGACTTTAGAATACTGTCTGTCTTCCTGACCTCTGAGTCTAAAAAACCCTTCTACTATTCCTTACCATGAGGCAAATAAAGTTTAAATTGTCAGACCTATCCTACTAAAAAAAAAAAATTATCCCCTAAAGCCCTAAAGTCTGTGTGAATGTCTCTAAAGGCTGCCCCACAGTGGTGGGATGAGGGGAGAGGTTTCCACTTACAGCATGGCGATGCCCCAGTGCTTCCCGGCTCGCTCTCCTGCTGCCTGGAAACCAGAGAGGCCAATGAGGGCCACTGTGGGCGTAATGGTCAGCGGCCCAATGTATTTCAGCAGAGCACCTGGCAGGCCTAGAAGGCCGATGACCACTTCTATCAGGGAGGACATGATGATGGCCCCCTGGATCTGGAACAAGAGAAGACATAGACATAGGTAAGCTGCTTGTGTGTCGAGCACGCCAAATGTCACCTGTAAAACTGATCAGTCTGCAAGACAACAAATTATTATATCATCTTACAGGCATGACATAGCTGAAAAATTTCTTGGTCCCCAACAAGAAACTTCAGTGGGGGAAGCTGGGGCTAAGCAAACTTAAGTAATAACATCACGGCTGGGCTCGGTGGCTCAACCTGTAATCCCAGCACTTTGAGAGGCCGAGGTGAGTGAATTGCCTGTGCCCGCGGGTTCGAGACCCGCCTGGGCAACTTGGCGAGACCTCATCTTTACAATAAATAAAAAAATTAGCCGGGTGTGGTAGTGCGCGCCTGTAGTTCCAGCTACTTGGAAGGCTGAGGCGGAAGGATCACCGGAGCCCAGCAGGTCGAGGCTGCGATGGCCGTGAGCATGCCACTACACTCCAGCCTGGGCAACAAGAGTGAGACTCCAACTCAAAAAAAAAAAAAAAAAAGGTACAACATCACTGATGAGTATTACAGAGAAGGGCCCTGGACACAAAGTCCGCATGCCTCTTCCACTGATAAATGATGCAGACAAAAATTGTAATTCCCATTTAAGGAACACATTTCAAAATCAGCCTTAAAGGAACACCGTAGCACAAAGATTCTCCTATGTTAAAAAGTGAGCCCCTGCAGGACATGTACCAGACGTGTCACTGACAAAAATTCTAAAGGAATGTTTCTAGTGTGCAGAATGGCCATATCCATGCTCATTCTGAACCGATGGTGAATTATCTCATAGGTTTTGGAAAATATGAATACACTCAGCCGTTCTTCATGTCTGGGGACTGCCATACACTGTTTTGTTCACGTGCACTTTGGCAGACAAGTATTTTTAGTTCTTTCAACAAATGCAGCAAGGCCAGAATGAACAATTCTGCTGTCTGTCAACGACAGGCCTCTGGAGCTCATTCCAGTGAGGCACGAATCTCAGCTGGTTGTGCTGGAGGGCATGAGTGGACAGGTCTGTGGGTCTGCAGCAGGAAGGAAACAAGTCCTTCTAGTTGCTCACATGCTTCATTTTAGAATGATGATTAAGTTTAGTTTAGCAACATAAATAAACATACCCATAGTCAAAAAAGAAAAGAAGGAATTAGTAAAAGCAACCGTGATTTCTTGGATGCAACCAGTGTCAAAGCTGAGAAGAAACAAAGAAGCCACAAGCAAACAGCACTCGTCTTTTACCTCTCGGATCCGGGGATACCAGATGTGTTCTGTGTGCAACAGTTCAGCTGTTCCATTGGCAACTGAAACATCTTGAAAACAAAAACAAAAACAAAATTTTTCTTGGAGTGACACCGATGTTTCATGGAACATATTTATCTTACCCTTTAAGAAGAATGTCTGCCCTGTTTTAATTATATTGTGTCAATGCCCATCCCTAACATTAACGTTCAGCTTATCACAGTGAAAGGTGGATTCCCCAGCACTAAATTAACCAAATGTATTCATCGACTGAGAGCTCCTGACTTGGCAAAAGCTGACGGAAGTGGAGATACATGTGACTAGTACCAGCCTCATACAAAAAAACCAACCTTTGCAAGCAGCTAATTGAAATGCCGGACAGCAAGGTTGCTGGACTGAGGATTTAAAAACTTAGATAAAACAGAGGGCCTCTTCCAGTTCCTACATCAAATCAATGGTCACAAAGTATCTACTAGGAGCAAGGAAGGAAATGAAGGCTGGAAAACTTTGCTCCTAGAACCTCAAAATGTAACCGTATTTTGAGAGTATAGCAGGTCTAATTTTTACAAATTCCCTGTCTTTTCCTGATCTCATCGGGTTCCTTAATGATCTCTGCAATCACTAAGTAAGGGGAATGAAAGTCATTTGCAGGAAACCACAGTAGCCAGATCCTTTAAAAGCAAAGATGTTTCAGAGAAGGGATGCTGACGCAGCAAAGAGAGTGATTACTGGTGGGTCATAAAATCCACTGAGAGAGAGAGGCAGAAAAATAGCACAAATATTTTTCTATTCCGTTCCCACATTTATCAATTTCATTAGCATAGAGAAATGAGATCATTTCTGGTCTTTTCTTGCTCTAGGTTTAGGGATGAACAAGTGGATAGAAAGAGAGAGACAGACACAATCCACAGATTGGAGCATTCTAAGCTGCTGGTAGGTTTGAGTGTTTTGTGCCTAATTCCAGAAAGGATTTAACGGTGCTGAGGACAGCATGTCCAGGCCTCCCTTTTATCACCTGCATTAATGGACCCCAATGACATATGTGGAAATAACTGCAATTACCTGTGGTGTTACATTTCCATTTATCTAAAGACAGGATGGCTCGAGCAGGGGCCAAAAATGCAAAAGCACTGGCCTGAAACAGGGGTAACCTAAAAGAAACGAGACCAAAACCATGATCACGGCATCGGGAACTACCGAGGTAGTTCACTATTTGACAGCTTAACAGTCTTTTCCATAGACACACAGCACATGAGTAAATGCAGGCACACCTGGAAGGAAGAGCCCCAGCCTGCAAGGATCTCCTATGCCATGCGGCAGGGGCCACTGGCTTCTCCATCCTCCCCGCCGCTGCTTTCCCCACAGGCAGCTCCAGGATAGGTCCTGGGGGAGCCTTACGATCAGTGCCAGGACCCAAACACCAGCCCCTGCCATCGACACCTTCCCTGGGGTGGGGACTCTGCGCATTCGCGTTTCCCTCTTTCCTCCTCTGGAAACATCAGTGTACTGCTATTTCACTCCCCTCTTCCTCCTCCCTCTCAAATTCCTATCAGTAATCATCAAAAAAATCTACCTCCTTCTACTGTTTCAGTGTGTGAGTCAAAAACCACCCTCATTATGGAGGATAAGTATTAAAATCACACCAGTGATCTAGATCTATCAAAGCTGCAAGTTACATAGTGACAGCAGAGAGAACAAATATTCTGCTTAATCATAAAAATACTTAAAAGTGTTCTAACACATTTTTAAAAGGCCCAGAAAGCTTGCAGAATCTCCATTAAAACTTCCTGCCCACATTTCCAAGCTAAATGCAGAGATCTTCAAATGCAATCACTCAATCATATTTTAGATACTTCATATTGACTTTGGGAACACTTCAGCTACTAAAAAGATTTTGCCTTTTTTTTTTTTTTTTTTTACTGGAAATGTATAGCACTTCAGCTAAGTTGTATTAAAGTTTCTTTATGGGTTAGCATAACAACTTAATCACTATTTTTAATATTATTTTGAGGGTAAAATATATAACTGATCCTTCTGTTTGCAGGGCTGGGAACTCTTAGACATCTAAATCCTTAAATCCCTCAGGCAGCCTTGTCAGTGGTTTGACCAGTGAGACAGGTACCCAGTATCCTCCCCTCGGAGCTATCTGGCAGCAAATCCTGCCCACAGCGAAACAGGAACTGGACTGAGAAACAGAAGTGGCTCTGGCCGCAGGACTAGCAGCCACATTGCAAGTCCATAGCCCAGCATGCATCATTCTGAGCCAGACAAGGTCAAGACTCCCTTGAGACAGATGCTTTCCTGGCTGTTTTAATCATGCAAGGAAATCAATCCAGAGTAGGCAGGATGCTGGCTTTAAGGCACAGAGGCAGGCCACACCGTACAAACCGGATGCACTGCTGCTGGCCACTCCCATGGGCATGCCCTCCATCCAGTTGTAATTACCTGCTGGAGGGGGCCCTGTGCTGTCAAAAGAGGAAGTGAAGGTCACCTGAAGTGGGAATGTACATTGAAGGGAAAACATTGTTTGAATTACAACAACTTCTTAAGCATAAATTTTTAAGGAATACACTGAAAGGGTAAAGGGGGATCAGCCTATAATTAGGAATGGATGCTGTCTCAGATGGTCCAAGCAGCATCTGCATCACTACAGCTTCAGATTTCAAGCAACGTAGTCTAGGGCAATGTAATACAAATGGCGAATTGCATTTAGAAATTTTGTCCTTAGGAACGTGACCATCACACTGCACTGGTGATTCACTGTAAGTGGCAAAAGTAAAGACTGGACCAGGGCTCCTAAGTCAGACTCAGACCACTGTGTGAACCTGACCTTAGCACCTGACCTCAGCATCTTTCAGGGCAAGCATTTTATGACTTAAACAGAACTATAGGCCCCAAGAACACTGCTGCAAAAAAAAGCCCATTCATTTGCAAGCAACCAGGACCTGGGTTCTTTTGAAAGTGGTAACAGAAAAGGTCTCCCAAGATGATCTGGAAAAGGCTGCTCATACGGGCATTACGTGTTCACTGTTCAGCCTGTGCACACTGCCGGCCACATGCTGTTCATATGCCAGCAGTGAATGTGGGCTCTATACCTGAAGGCATATTATTGGTGGCTTCATTGGAATATTCTCAGGGGAAGTTGCAACAAGAACACATGAACACATTAAACAAAGGAGTACTTCCTTGGATCACTGTTAACAGAACCAATTTTCTGACAAAACTACTAAAGATAACAGAGCGGCTTTTTCAAAGACTTGCCCAGCGTGAAGCTGGCCAGTCCTCAGCTCCTTTCTCTGTAACCACAGCATGTCTCCATCTCAGTCCCTCTCGCTCCATGGCTGTCTAAACCTCGGGCACATGGGTGGGTCTCCCCAGGCAGACGAGACTTCCTGCTCTTTCATTTTGTACTGGAGACTGGAAAGGAAGCAAATTAAAAGGTACCTGTCTTTACACCAAGGAATGACAAACTGGCCTGTGGGTATGCTACCTTTTTTATAAGTCAAGTTTACTGAAACTCAGTCACCTTGCTCGGCTACTCATTGTGGCTGCTTTCACACTGTCTCCGTAGAGCTAAATAGTCACCATGGAGACCCGGCAGAGCCCTGTACAGAGAAAATTTCGCAGCCCGTCTATAGGGGAAATAAACCGTAAATATGTGACGTGGCAGTGGGTTTTTGCAGAATATTAACTAATATCACTACATATTAGCTTAAAAAACAAAAGCCTGAGCAGATAAGCAACTTTGTCACGATAGTAAAATATCCTAACCAGCCCCAGACAAGCACTTTATTCAAAAACCTGTCAGAGGCTCCCCATTTCCCACATGGTACCCCATGACCTGAATCCCATTCCCAGCCTCATCTCTCACCAGCCCCTTCACACATGTTCAGCTTTTATTTGTCATTCAGGGCACGAAGAAAATAACACTTCCTCCAGGGAACATTCTGAATCTGTAATGTATTCCCCTACAACTTAAGACTTTCTAGTCAAGATTTCTCCAAGACACTCCCAAGTAGCCAGAAAGCTGATTCAGGACTTCCTAGGGATGCAGTTAAAAATGGAGCCCTTTGCCTCTTGCTCAGTCCTGGTTAGCCAGATTCTGGGATGGTGGCACCAGATCTGCATTTTCTTTCTTTTTTTTGGTATTTTTTTGCTTGATCAACATATTTATTGTCTTTATCTACAAAATCCTTATGGAAAACTTTTTGGTTCAGCTCTCAGCAGCCCACTCCTGAGCTCCGAGGAAGCTTGCCTTATTCTGAGCTACCCGATTTTTCTTCTGGGCAAGGGACATTTTGGGATGATTCCACCTCTTCTTCACTTCCTTCTTGGGCTTCTTCTCTTATCTCCTTTATAGCTGTCTGAGCTTTCTTGTACACCTGCTCCATGTTTGGAGTCACGCTGTTCTTTATGTACTGAGAGAACTGCTTCTTGTAAGCATCTTCATCTTCTTCCGTTTGGTAACGCATGTAATCTGTAATGTTCTGGCCCATGAAGTGCTTCCAATGTACTTCTGCATTAAGTTCCTTCCTTTCAGAATCATAACCAGGAAATCGTTTGGTACTGTGAGGAATAGACAAGCCTCGATTCACAAATCCCTTTGGGGCCCCCAAAACTTTATTGCCAGTGGTAGTTCTGGCAAGGCCTACATCCAAATAGCAGATGACAACATCAGGCTGACCATCAATTGCTTTCTACATTGTATTTCTCTGGTCACCTCCAGTTGGTCTTCACAGATCTTGTCCATGCTAAACCTACCAAGAAGCCTGCGGGCCAGCAACAGGCCAGTACAACATGCAGCAGCACAATTTGTCAGGCCAGCTTTCACACCATATTTTGGTAGTTTGTATACATAAGCTGCGCAGACTATCATATCCCCTTCTATATGGGCATAAGCAGTCTGACAGATATCTCTGTTTGTTACATGAACTATATCATCTTGTATTTGGGTGTGTTGTACTTATTTTTTTTTTTTTTTTGAGTTGGAGTCTCACTCTGTCGCCCAGACTGGAGTGCAATGGCCGCTCCCGGCCATCGCAGCCTCGACCTGCTGGACTCTGGCGATCCTTCCGCCTCAGCCTTCCGAGTAGCCAGAATTACAGGCATACGCTACCACGCCCAGCTGATTTTTGGATTTATTGTAGAGATGAGGTCTCGCTGCCCAGGCGGGTCTCGAACCCGCGGGCTCAGGCAATTCACTCACCTCAGCCTCCCAAAGGCACGGAATTACAGGCTGAGCCACCGAGCCCGGCTATTGTTGTACTTATTTTTATCCCGTATCACCAAACATTCCCGAGCATAGTAATCAGTTTTTCCCTCTTATCTTCTAAATTTCACTTGATATCTCTTAAGGTAGGCCTTATTCTTGACAACTTTAACAAACCCCATCCTGTAGAACAAAGACCTGCATCCGTGGCTCCACACAGACCTCCAGATTTGCGTTTTTAACAACTACTTCCAGGTGAGGCTAAGACCAACAGCCCCTGTGCTAGACGAAGGAATGTATTATTTTGTCTCTTGGTAAATATTTCTTGGGCAGCTACTTGTCCCAGTTACAATTACAGGCAGACAGAACAATGGAAAAAAACTCCCAAGACCATGAAGAAGACACCACAATGGTCACACATGGAGGGCGGTGATGTGGCGGTGCAGGATGCTGTGGGCTCTGTGGCAGGCGTCGCTAAAGCTACTCTTAAAGCCCAAGAAGTGCTTTGTCCCAAGTGGAGGAGGTACGTGTATTCTAGGCAGACAGAGGTGTAAACCAAAAGCCACATAACAGAGTGAGGAGCCCTCGGAGAGCTGTGGGCACCTTACAGGGATTGAGGAGGTGAAGGTCAGCAGGGACCAGGTGGCAAATGCCCTGTACTCTTCCTGTAGTAAGAGGAAAATGACTGAAGGACCTTGCTCTGAAAGGACCCCTTTAGGGGACATGGGAAAGGTGATCTTAAGAAGCTTAGCTCAGTCTTGAAGGAATCAAACTGCAGAGGACATTCTGACACGCCATGGCACGCCGCCATGTGTCATCCCTGCTTTTTAACTCTTACTCATCTGTTGTGGGTTCAGATGACTGGTCAGCCTGGGCCAGGTCTCCTCACGCACCCTGCTGCCACACTCGCCAGGAATGCTGCCCATCCTACCCTTGAGGCTG